GAAGACGATGTCGACCTGGCAGGAGAACAGCCAGACGAGGCAATTGGGAACGAGGCACCCTTCGTACCCGTTACGGAGGAGTTCTGCACAGCAACATTTTTCCCAACAGAAACTGATCAACACAAAGCAATACACGTACAGCACGAATACGCAAGTGCAGAAATGCACTCACCCATGGAAGAAGATCTGGCTCGCAACTCTTCTCGCAGCACCATTCGCGATATCCCGGGCAACGACGACGATGTGGTTGAAGTTACCAACGCAGCTGAATCCAACCTCTCAGGACCTCGCATCCTCGGACTCGCCGTCACCGTCCGAGGTAACCAGCAGCTGGTCGAGCCCACCACCGTTCGCTAGGCTCTCAGCGGGCCCGATGTTGAGAGGTGGAGAGCAGCCATGGCAGCTGAAGTTTCTGCACTACAGCGGCGTGGTGTTAAAGTTTAAAAGAGAGAAGAGAGAAGGGTTGCACTAGCAAGAATGAGGATACAAATAGCAAACCCTAGAAGGGTTGTACTCGCTATAGAGCACCCCACTACAGGCTAGAGCATAAGATAACATTCTGACACACCCCCATAGCCAAAGTGGGGTGTAATCAGCAGAGCAAGAAAAGCAGTACAAGCTCAGGGTGGATCACAATGTCACCACACATTCTGAGCACAAGTTCAAGAAGGAATAGTTTAAAGGGTACAATTATGAGCAAAGCTAGTGGTGGTCACAACGGGCAAGCGAGGAGGAGGAGAGAGAGTGAGGGGAGAGGAGATAGGAGGCGACGGCTGAAGCTGCAGACACACGGGCAACAGGAGGCAGACTGGCACAGCGGCTACCGGACTAAGCGCCCGGACTACAGGAGTAACAGGCCCCGCGGCTAAAGTAGCGGCAGACGAGCAACGGACCCACGGGCGGCTGGCGTAGAAGTCTACGACTGGGCTACCGGACGAAGTCCCCGGACTACAGGTGCTGCTGGCGACACGACGGCAACCTCCGTGCAGCTTCCCCAAACTATCCCACTCCCCCCTGGCACACACCCGCTGCTACACCGCTAGCTCCACTCCCCCTTCACACCCCCTTAGTACCACTCCACCGGCTCCAACACGTCCACCCCCCCTCAGCGGCAGCTGCAGCACAGGGAGACGGAGGAGGAGGAGGAGCAGGCGACGCCACACACCTGCCACCCCCCAACCGCCACCCCCCAACCGCCACCCCCCAACCACTACCCCCCAAACCCTAAAAACAGGGTAGGGAGGTGGGGGGGGGGGGGGGGGCAACGCGCGGTCCCCCCCCCAGGGTCGCCTCGACAGGCGACGGGAGTTGGGCCGGGGCAGGTCGGGGCCGGGGCAGGTCGGGGACGGGGCGGGGCAGCAGGGGCCGCGCACGGCTCCCCTGGGCAGCGCGACGGGGCAGCAGGGCCGCGCGACGGGGCAGCAGGGGCCGCGCGCGGCTCCCCTGGGCGGCGCGACGGGTCTGCAGGGGCCGCGCGCGGCTCCCCTGGGCGGCGCGACGGGGCTGCAGGGGCCGCGCGCGGCTCCCCTGGGCGGCGCGACGGGGCTGCAGGGGTCGCGCGCGGCTCCCCTGGGCGGCGCGACGGGGCTGCAGGGGCCGCGCGCGGCTCCCCTGGGCGGCGCGACGGGGCTGCAGGGGCCGCGCGCGGCTCCCCTGGGCGGCGCGACGGGGCTGCAGGGGTCGCGCGCGGCTCCCCTGGGCGGCGCGACGGGGCTGTAGGGGTCGCGCGACCCGCCGCGCGCCTCGGGGCGCGCGGCGGGCAGGAAACCGCCGCGCGCCTCGGGGCGCACGGCGGGCAGAAAACCGCCGCGCGCCTCGGGGCGCACGGCGGGCAGAAAACCGCCGCGCGCCTCGGGGCGCACGGCGGGAAGAAAAAACTGCCGCACGCCACGAAGCGTGCGGCACAGAGAGTAGCAGTAGCAGTTGCAGCGGAAGCAACAAGGTGGTGAGCCCACCCACAGGATCGATCCAAGGGGATCGACCTGCTCTGATAGCATGTTAAAGTTTAAAAGAGAGAAGAGAGAAGGGTTGCACTAGCAAGAATGAGGATACAAATAGCAAACCCTAGAAGGGTTGTACTCGCTATAGAGCACCCCACTACAGGCTAGAGCATAAGATAACATTCTGACACGTGGCACCTGGAAGCTGGTACCATGACGACACGCAAAGGGGAAAAAGATTCTCACAGGGAAGTGGGCTTTCATAATCAAAACACTCGCGGATGGGACTATTGATAAATACAAAGTACGATGGGTCGTCTGCGGCTTCGAACTGACCCAGTTCGTGGACTATGACAAGACATTCACTCCCGTCGGATGACACTCCTTTGTCCGTATCCTCCTCTGCGTCGCAGCTGTAAAGCAGCGTCCACAGCTCAAAATTGACGTGTCGGACGCGTTCCTCTATGCGATCGTCGACGCCATCATCTACGCCAAGCAGCCGCACGCTTTTGAGGAAGATGACGACGCCATTTGCCTTCTCCAGAAGTCCCTGTACGGCATCAAGCAGGTGCCACGCTTGTGGCAGCAGTACCTCCACACCGTGCTCATCGAGCTCGGCTTCCAGCAGCTTCCCCACGATCAGGGAATGTACCACCTTGAGTTCCGCGGCAACTTCATCCTGCTCGTCGCCTACGTGTACGACACCGTGGACAACACAGAGCTGCTCGATCACTTCGAACATGACATCAAAGTGAAGCTCGAAGTGACCATCGATCACGATGTCACTCAATTCCTCGGCCTCAACGTCACTCAGACCGCCGACACGATCCACCTCTCTGCCGCGAAATACGCCGAGACCCTCGCTAAGAAGTTCGGCATCGCTCCCGTCGGCATCACCACCCCGTTTCGCATTCCTCCACCTAATCACGAGCCCGACACCACCCCGCTCTCCTCGGCCAACCGTTGCCTCTATCAGCAGCAGCTCGGCTATCTACTCTTCGCCGCCGTCACATGCCGCCCATACCTGTCCTACATCGCCAGCCAGCTCGCCCAGCATCAGCGCCGACCTGAAGGGGAGAATATGGCGGACCTGCGACGTGCCCTACAGTACTTCGTCTCTACGCCCGATGTCGGCCTCACCTACAAAACGAACTTAACGGCTAATCTACAGCTCACCGGCTACGTCGACGCTGATCACGCTGGGACGCAGACAACAAGAGGTCTCGCACAGGCTTTATTTTCAAGCTTGAGCCTGCAGGAACCATCTCCTGGAACTCACACAAGCAGGAGCTCATCGCCATGTCGTCAGCAAAAGCAGAATTCATCACAGCAAGCGCAGCAGTTCGCGAAGGACTCTACCTCACGGAGCTCCCACAGGAAACGAAGACGGCAATGAACGGGTCCTTCAAGTTACTTTGCGACAACCAAAGCGCGATCAAGATCGCAAACAAACCCAGCTTCGTCAACCGCACGAAGCACATCGCCCTACATTCCTTTTTGTCAAGGACGAAATCGACAACGGGGTCCAGCTCACCTCTTGCCCAACTGGCAAAATGGCAGCTGATTGCTGACGAAGAAACTGCCACATCAGAAGTTCCAGTACTGCTCGGACCTGTGCGGAGTCGTCCGAAAGAGCCACGTGGCACACCTCCAGGAATGAAGGGGAGTGTTGGAGTATGAAGGGAATTGAATTTAGCATTCCCGTAGGTGCAGCTGTATCGCACCCGTCACTATCGAAGCAGCACCTGCAGCGGTATCGGATCAACCTGTAACATGGGCAGGAAGGTCAACAGTCGCGACTGTTGACCATCTGGACCGATTGACTCACCATCGAGGAATGGCAACAGGTGTAACCGTCTGTACGGTTACACGCAGCGACTCGGTAACAAGAAGGATAGCATAAGTCAGAGCCATTGTAGAACTGCTTGTAAAACAGTTAGAATAAGGGAATGTACCCCTCAGAGTACATGGCTAGCAATATCTATTTATTGTGTGTAATTTATGCTTTAATCAACTTTGTCATTTACATCCACTATGCACAAGGTTCCTACCACAAAGACTTCCGCTACCAAAAACTTTCTAAGGCATTCCTATCCTATCCAAGATCCTTGCTCTAGCACAATCAATCATCCTGATCCAATCAGGGTAAAATTAACGCTACATCGTTAGTAAAAACATGGGCACAATCTGATTAAGGTTAACATTCAACTCAGGTGCAATATGGCAGCGCTTGCCGTTCTAGGTTTCGCGGGAACCCATGGCTTGCCAAGTTGTGCGATGGCTGCCAGGGTGAAGCATCTTTGATATGGGCGAGGATTCTTTTGCCTACATAACGCGTGAGCTGTTGTCGTTGATTTCTGTTTCAGGGTTTTTTGTTTTTACAGCCATGTTTTGCATTATTTGAATTTTACCCTGAAGCATTCAGTGTGAAAAAAAAACGCAACACTTTCTTCATTCTGCATTCAATGTGCCATCTTTCAGTAACATCGTTTAGGGTACTGCTAGTCATTCCGGCCCTTGAATTAGAAACTCCAATCTTCATAGCAATTGGAAAGCAAAACAGTTACCGGTATTAATGATTCTAGTCCTAGACATTTCTAGCTAGCCATGTAGTCCGTGGGGTACATTTCCTTATTGAGATGTAACCAACCACTGTAACCAGCGCTACAGAAAACAAACAAAAGCCAACACAACACAAACCATGACCAGCCAAAACACCCAGAAAAACAGCAAAGAAAGCCCTGTGTCCCAGTGGCTGACGCCTTGTGCCCTGGTGCATGGAGATCTTTCCCCTTTGTAAGGACACACAAGGGTCAAATCAAACCTCTTCTATCTATCTTCCCTTCTAGGGCACTCAAGCACGGACTGTCCTGATGCACTCAAATCATGCCTTCATCCTCTTTGGCCACTGTGCGATATTTTGCAACAAAAACATCTTCAAAACTAGCTGATGGGATGATGGGACTGGCTGATGAGGGTGTCCCTTCACAGGAGTGATGCAGGTGTGCCGTCACAAGAGCGATGAGGGTGTTCCATCAGTAGAGTAGACGTTCCTCACGGCTATGCTGAGGGCACCTTGCCTGATGAAGGGGGAGACGAACAAGTAGATGAATATGCAAGAGATAAGCTGAAGGGGGTGAACAACGACTGGGGGGTGATTTGGGTGGAAGGGAGAGGGAGGATATTGCAAGACACATGCAGGAGGAATAAGTAGGTTCTTACCAACGCAAGCCTTGGTGGTCAGCGGGACCCCCTTGTTGCAAATGCAGAAGGGAATCCCGTCCAGCCTCCTCACGCACGTCGAGAGGCTGGTGTCACAGTTCTTGAAGGGGCACCAATCTGGAGGGGGATTATGAGGAGAGAACAGTTTGGGGTTGAGATAGAGTTGGAGGAAAAAAAAAGTTCTTGCTAATGCACGATCTGGAGGGGGGGGTATTTGGAAGAAAAAAAGAGAGTTTTTGCTGATGCACGATCTGGAGGAAAAACCCATCCTCACCGTACTCCCCCACAAGAACAGCAGGCTGCCACATCTCAACAGCAGGACTGGGAGGTGCGAAAAGGTGTAAGGGAAATAGAAAGCGCAAGCTAAGAGAAGGAGAGAAGATAGGCAAAGGAGTGAAGCAGTTGCTGCAGGACACGTACCCTGGCAAAAGCCGCCAACTGCCCTGTGGTAGTAATCATCGCACTTGCAGAATGCCACGCCGGTGGTGACGTTTTTGGCGCAGTGCTCCTTGGGACCAGTGCAGCTCAGAAACTCACAGTTATTTGAGGGTAGAGGTTTGGAGGAAAGGAATGAGGGGTACGGTTTCACAGAGAACGTTTTTTAATATAAAGCAAGATGCCCTAAGGAATAGGCCAGTAGGAAACACCATGCTGAGCACCTACCTTTGCACGTGGTGCCATCAGCCTGCAGCGTGAAGCCCAGATCGCAAACACAGGATGCCTCTCCTGTGGTGCTGTCCTTGCGGCACTTGCCATTTAGGCCACACCCCTTCGAGAACCGGGGAGTGGTGTGGATGAAAACACACATTAACACACAAGAAATGCGAAAGCACAAATGCACAGAGACACACACATACGGGGGAGGAAAAGCGAAAGAAGCAGTAGATGCAAAGGGCCTATTATGTACTACCAGCCCCTGAGCCGGCAGGAGAGGGGTGGTGGCAGGAAGGGCAAGCATACCAATGCATTTGCCCTCAAACAGCTTGAACCCAGTCTTGCAGACACAGGTTGCAACGATGCCATTCTTGACACACGTGGAATTGGCATCACTGCCTTCACAGTCCTTGATGATGCACACATCTGCACGGAGGGTGAAACAGAGATGAAGAATGAAGACGACAAAGTTCTGGAAATAGGAGACGACTCCAGCACAACAGCACATAACAGCGTTGGAAACACAGTGGCACCTATCATTGTCAGCATCGACAAACGAAACGAGGGCCCTTACCTTTGCACGTCCTGTCGTCCTCCAACAGTACAAACCCAGCGTCGGCATCACAATGGCAGGATGCTGCTCCAGTGATGCTGTTCTGGCGGCACAAGCCATTGACACACGCCTTCACCTTGCACGTGTCTGGGAGGGCAGGGGCGGAGGGGACGTGGAAGGAGGGGTGGAGAGGAGTAAGCAAAAGGTAGTTTGAGAGAGCAGTAAAAAGTGGACGAAGTATTGAAAAGAAGACACACATACGCACCCACAGAAAGACACACAGCCAGGCACACAGAAAGTGAGTCCAGGAAGCGTACCAGTGCATTTGCCCTCAAACAGCTCGTATTTGATCACGCATTCACAGTGAGCCACGTCCCGATTCCTCACACACATGGAACTGGCGTCCTTGCCCTCACAGTCCTCGACGACGCACACGTCTGAAAGGCGGGCAGGAGGGAAGTGGGAGAGAGAGGCGAAATTAAGAACCACACAGTGGTACAGCAGTTGCAATCGGCACAACACACATGAGATTGAGCCCACAGCAGCACATCACAGTGTTTTAAACACAGAGGGGCCTGGCCTACTCAGCAGCAACAAATGCCAGCCCATACCTTTGCACGTGCGCATGTCATCCAGCAGAACAAGGCCAGCGTCGGCGTCACAATGGCAGGATGCCGCTCCGTCGACGTCCTTGGTGCACGTGCCATCCACACACGCCTTCACCTCGCATGTGTCTGTGAGGGCATGCGCGAGGGAGAAGTGGAAAGAGGGGTGATTCAGCAAAGGGTTGATTGAGAACAAAGAGAAATGTGACAAAAACCAACATATGCATGCATAGAGAGACAAACCCAGTCACCCAGGCACACAGAAAGTTGAGAGCAGGAAGCTTGCTGCATACCAGTGCATTTGCCGTCAAACAGCTGGAATCCAGTCTTGCAGACACAGGTTGCATCGATGCCTTTCTTGACACACGTGGAATTGGCATCACTGCCTTCACAGTCCTTGATGATGCACACATCTGCACGGAGGGTGAATCAGAAATGGAAAGACGAAGAAAGTTTGGAAAGTAGGAGATGACTGCACCCCAACAGCACATGACAGAGTTGAAAACACAATGGCACCTACCATTGTCAGCATCAACAAACGCCGGCCCTTACCTTTGCATGCCCTGCCGTCCTCCAGGAGAACCAAGCCAGCGTCGGCGTCACAATGGCAGGATGCCGTTCCTTTGACGTCCTTGCTGCACGTGCCATCCACACACGCCTTCACCTCACACGTGTCTGTGAGGGGCAGATGCGGAGGGGATGTGGAAGGAGGGTTGAAGGGGATTTTGCAAAAGGCCGATTAAGAGAGTGGATAAAAGTGGACAAAGCAACAAAAAGCAGAGACACAGACGCACGCACAGAGAGGCACACCCAGGCACACAGAAAGTGAGAGCAGGGAGCGCACCAGTGCATTTGCCCTCAAACATCTCGAATCCAGTCTTGCAGATACAGGTTGCGACGATGCCATTCTTGACACATGTGGAATTGGCATCACTGCCTTCACAGTCCTTGATGACGCACACATCTGCACAGAGGGTGAATAAAAAACAAAAGGAAAGATTAGAAAGTTCGGAAAGTAGAACACAGTGGCACCGACCATTGTCAGCATCGGCAAACGCCGGCCCTTACCTTTGCACGTCCTGCCGTCCTCCAGCAGTACCAAGCCAGCGTCGGCGTCACAATGGCAGGATGCCGCTCCGTCGGCGTCATGGGTGCACGCGCCATCACACGCCTTCACCACACACGTGTCTGGGAGGGCAGGGGCGGAGGGGATGTGGAAGGAGGGTTGGAGCGGAGTCAGCAAAATGCAGTTTGAGAGAGCAGAGAAACGTGGACAAAACGAAAAGGAGACACACAGATGCACGCAGAGAGACAGAGCGAGACACACACACTGTGAGTCCAGGAAGCGTACCAGTGCATACGCCCTGGAACAGCTGGAAGGTGGTCTTGCATTCACAGTGGGCCACGTCCAGATTCCTCACACACTTGGAATTGGCGTCTTTGACCTCACAGCCCTCGATGATGCACACGTCTGAAAGGCGGGCGGGAGAGACGTGGGGAAGAGACGAGACGGCAAAGTTAGAAACTACAGTTCAGCTCGGCAGCACATACAGAAGTTGCAATTAGCACAACACACGAGTTTAGGCAGCAGCACCTACCACAGCAGCTCGCAGCATATTCAGCACGTACCCTTGCACGTCCTGCCTTCCACGTACCCTTGCACGTCCTGCCGTCAAGCTGCAGCTTGAAGCCAGCCTCGGCGTCACAGGAGCAGGCGGCCGCCCCAGTCACGCTGTCCTTGCTGCACGTGCCGTCCACACAGGCCTTCAGCGTGCACGTGTCTGCCAAGGGAGGGCAGAAATGGAGGGGAGGGGAGGGAGGTGGGTGAGACGAGAGCAGGGAGAAACGGAAGAGAGATACAGAAGGAGCTGGCAGCAGAAGGAAGCGGAGCGGGTGAGAGTTTAAGATGCTTGAAGCAGGCAGATGCGAAGCGCAGCGGAGCGGAGCAGCACTGACCGACGCAGCCTTGGTCGGGCGTCATGGCGAAGCCCCAGTTGCAGACGCACGTGGCCAGCTGGCCCACCTCCTTGACGCACGAGGCATGGGCGTCGCACACCATGGTGGTGCACGGGTCTGCAAGGGCATGGCGTAGGGGCGTGAAGGCAAGAGAACGATCAGTTCGAGTTGAAGGTCTCGCACACTCCATGCTGGCGCAGTGGGGGCAAGGCGAGGCATGTGGCATGGGCCATGGGGAGAAGAAAGGACACAATGAGATTCAGCCACCACGGAAGAACACTGCGCTCCAGCAGGCTTCCAGAATGCTCAAAGTCTTGAAATAGAAAAGGGGCGGCCTCAACCCTAAGCAAAGGGGTGATGTGTCGTACGTGCGCATGAATTGTCGGGCTGCAGCACGTATTCAGGATTGATGCACACGCAGATTGCCTCGCCCGTCTCGTTCTTTTTGCACACCGCGTCGGCGCCACATTTGTTCTTGCACTTGTCTGGAGCAGGCAGGCAACACGTGGAGGACACACGCAGAAACACGGAGTACACACGTGGCCACGTGAGGAGAACATGTGCAGGCATGTAAGACGCACAAACACGAAACGAGGAGCGATATTTTAGGCTCAAGAGATGTTGGTAACATGCACGGCATGTAGAAGGTGTGGCAGCAGGCATGCAGCAAAGGCAGGGAGATTTCAGAAGGTAGGCGGTACAGGCGTGCAAGCATTCAGGATGCAGCCATGTGTAGCAACGCAAAGAGGGAGAAGGGTGGAGCACACACCAGCGCAGTTGCCATTTATCCTTTCCTGCCCCCAGGGGCAGTCCGGTGGCGGCAAGTCGCGGGTGGCCTCTGCCATGGGCGCACACGCTGGCGCGCAGGGGGAGTGGGGGGAGAGGAAGAGGGGGAGAGGGGGAGGAGAGGAAATAAGGAGAGAAGGCGGAAGAGCAAGGATGACAGCAGTTTCAAGGTTTGGAGTCTAGGAAAAGGTAGGAGTGCACAAGCCACGAGCGCAGCGAGCACCGGACCCTACGAGAACCCATGATGCATACCTGAGAGCAGGAGAGCAACCAGTGCCGCGAGCACGAGTCCACGGGAGCCCATGATGCTGGTGCTGCTGATGACGAGTCTGGTGAGTCTTGTGACGCTGTTAACGATGCTGGTGCCGCAATTGACGCTGGCGAAACTGGTGACAAGCAGGCGACAGTCTCTCGGCAGTGGAGCCTGATGATTTGCTGGGGAGCACGAGGCTGATGATTGGCTGGGGAGCACGAGGCTGATGATTGGCTGGGGAACACGCGCCTGACGATGATGTCAGAGATCTAAGCAGGATAGGTAAGCAGGAACCAGAAAGGGGTGAGTAGCGAGCAGCCAAGGCGATAAGTGGATTGAGCTCCAAGCGCGGCTTATATACTATGAGAACTCTCGCCTCCTCCCCCCCCCTCCCCTCCCCTTTCCCCGTCCCGCTCCATGGGGACCTTTTCCCCTGAGAGATCTTCCCCCTCGCCCCAAGCAGCAGTGCCAGGACCATCGGGGAGGTCAATCCCTTGACTTAGCGACTGCACTATTTGGGGTCCAGCTTAGCGGGGGAGAGCTTATCCCTATTATTCTGGGGGAGAGCTTATCCGAGCTCCTCCGGGGGGGTTCGCGCATCGACCCATTGCCAGGGGGGGGAAGCCTGGAGCGGGAGGGGGGGAGAAGGGAAACTGACCTTTCCCTACAGCTTTCTTCCCCTAAAAGAGCGCTAGTGAGTCTCTGGAAGAGTTTGCGATGATGCGCTGGAATGAACGTGAGCCTCTTTGCGCGGAAAGTGCCTCCCCGCGCAGGCGGCGCACGGCCAGCGAGGCATGAACCTGATTCTATGTGAAATCAAGAAAAGGTTGCGACGCGTGTAAGCCAGCGAGGCATAAACTCTCTCGCAACCGTGTGAATTTGGATGACACTATGGCGACGCGTGTGAGCCAGCGAGGCATAATTTGCTTCGAAAATCGAGAGACGGTTTGCCAGCGATACACGGCAACGCAAGGTGGATCCACTAGCGACACGTCCCCACACTCTCTCGCTTTGTCAACTCGCTTGACAGCGATGCGGGTCTACCCGGAGTAGGATAATCGGTCAATGCAAGTCTCTCGCCTTTCACGTGCCGCGGAGGAATCTAACTTGGCAAAAAAAACATAATTCTAGCATAGCCGACTCGTGTGAGCCAACGAGGCATTGGCTCTGTGTGAATTTTGGCTGTGTGAGACACTCTTGAGAACAGGCGATCATGCGCGGGCCAGCGAGGCTTCTTTTGCTTCAAAACAGAGGCTCGCGTTGCCAGCAAAACACGGCAAAGGCCTGTTGGATCCACTAGAGACACATCCCCCACTCCGTCGCCTTGTTTGGTAACTGTGCGAATTTGGATGACACTATGGCGACGCGCGTTAGCCAGCGAGGCGTTATTTGCTTCGAAATTAGAGAGACGGTTTGCCAGCGATACACGGCAAGGCAAGGTGGATCCACTAGCGACACATCCCCACACTCTCTCGCATGTCGGGTAGCTTGACAGCGATGCGGGTTTATCTGGAATCGGATAAAGGGTCAATGCAAGTCTCTCGCCTTTCACGTGCCGCCGAGGTATCTAATTCGGCAAAAACCCGGCTGAAGGCCTCTTGAGATATTTGGACATGGTTGTCTAGACTCTATAGATAGAGACAAAGCCGGGCATTGGCGGCGGAATAGCGACAAATGCGCTTCTCCAGCGCAGCGAAACATAGCGCGGACTCGGGACTTTTTTCGTAGTCGTGCGGAGGTTTAGGAAGAAGCTTTTTTCGTGTGAAAATGGCTCTTGACAGACGTGCGATGTGGAATTGCGGGGTCGTGGGCATTGGCAAGTTTTGTGCTGTGCTGTGGGCTTTGGCGCATGTGCTGAGCTGCTTGGAGGGAAGAGGAGGGAGGGCACTCAACTCGACACATGTTTTGGGGGACCCTGCGGAATCCAAGTTCCAGCCTGATTTCACCCTGCCACTGCAGTGCCTCAAGCGTGAAATAGCCAAGAAAAGCCGAGTGTTTCTGTTATCTATACCAGAATTGGCAGTGCGGCACTGCATTCCAGTATACCTAACCGTGCTACCGAAAGTACCAGCGAGAGGTCAGAAAACATTACTTAATTGTGAGGGGTTGGAAGGGTACTTACGTCGCTGGTACAAAACCTCTAGTATTGGAGTGTCATGCAGAAACAAGGCTGTGGTGGTCCTGAGATGGCTGCGGTGGTCCTGAGAAAGTTTAATACCTAAACCTTCAACCCGAATTCCCGTCATGATACTTTGCGGTTTCCTTCCCGACCGCATGGAAATTTGCAGCTGCTCTCTCTGCTGCCTCTTGAAATTCATACTTCGCCAAGTTTGCGTGTTTCGTTGGATTTCTAGTTCTCCAGCCAAACATCAAACACAGTGCTAGAACTTGAGCAGCCAAAACCTAGTCACAATAATGTTGACGACTGGGCTCGTGAAAGGTGCTTTCTGTATCTACTTTGAGGCCGCTGTATTTCTTATACATGTGTACCTTGAAAATTAGGGCCCTTCAAATGAAAACCATACTGGGTAAAACCTCCTAGTATCTTGAGTGCCCTCCTCTCTGTTCCGACATACATGCGCCAGGTGGAAGAACGTGCAGGGATGACTCGGGCATGGGAAACGTCTACTGTACGTCTAGGAGAAAACTCAGGTGAGATGGCTCCCCGCCTAAACCCTAGACCGCACAATGGCTGTCGTTTCGTTTACGAACACCCTGGTCTGAAAAATGTTACCCTTAATTTCAGTGGTTTGGGCCAAACCTGGCGACAACCTCTTGTAATGCTTGTCTCTCGTTTCTGAAGTACTGAAACATCCATTTCACGTCATTTACGAAGTGCTATAGAAGAAGGTGGCGATGAAGGGCTTCGCCCCAGTCTGGGTGGCGTAAATTGTTGGTGACAACTGTGACACCCGTGAGCAGTTCAAACAAACGTAAGGAGACGGAGAAGGAAATACCTGCACGACTACCAAACAACCATTCTGTAAACATGCCGTGCAGTTTGTGCAAGCGTGCGTCAAGGAACGCGCCCCTCCTGATGCTCTAGTTCTGATTTTTTAAGAGTTAAACGGAAACACATCGCGAGGAGCAGATCGATAGTACGTAGATCCCAATGGAAAGTGGTATTAGGTTCGGAGTAGGGGGGCAAGGAGAAATAGAGGCCCGCTGAGAAGGGAGGGAAGGGGTTGGAGGACTCCTCACAGCTCTCGGCTTTCAAAGGCAAGCCCCGAACCTCACCCGAAAGTTTGACCCTAACGACTAAGGGCTACCCTTCAACAAACCCGTTTAAAAGCAGCAGTAGCCGAAGAATTCACCCTTAATTTCGTGGAATGTTATTTCATTTGCCCTGCAATCAACATCCCACCCCATTCTGCTGCCACTCCTGACAAGGCGGAGAACGAAACAAGTCAGGCTTCCACACTCTTGTGTATGTGTTGGTTTGTGCAGCAGGCTAGTCTCGGGGCAAGGGTAACTTGAGCACGACTAGGTCGTGTTCCAGTACTACACCTATAAGTTAGTGAGCTGGATTGGAGTGAGCTGTTTATACAACTGGAAGCAGAGTGAAGGCACACGCCTGTGGACTTCCAGGAAGCCATCTCGGCGTCCATGGCTGCCTGCCACTGAGAGGAGTAGGGACCCTCTATCGCCTCTGCGTAAGAGCGCGGGGTCGGGATGTCTGGTGCATCCGGGTCTCCCTCAGGGCCAAGCAGCATGGACACGAGATGAGGTACAGTAGCGACAAAGCACTCAAACTCCTCCTGTCTGTCCTCAAGAACGTCCGTGCCAAGAGCACACTCACCCCCGACGGACGGAGGACAGACAGACGCAAACGCAGACTCAGCAACAAGACTAGAGGCGAAGTCGAGGCGACAGGCTGCAGCAAAGTCAACAAGCTCAGCAACGAGAGCAGATGTAGCAATGGACTCAGACAAAGGGTCAGTGACAGCAGTGGCCAGAAAGCGCGTAACAGTAGGACTAGCAGCACGAAGGGAGTCAGACTCTGGGTCTGGACCGTCAGGAAGAGAGGACACAGTAGGAGACGGTAGAGGGACACGCTGTGGAGCAGTGGAAGGACGCAGTGTCATAGAGTGAGTGCCAGGGACAGGAGGAGGACGCTGACGCAAAACACGAGAACCAGCGCGAACAGGGTA